GCATTTTGTTCTTAGGTGGAAGAAACTGATGATTGATTAGTGGTAAGTATTGCTGTTGTGCTGCTGTGTAACTGGAGGGACTGCTGTAACTTTAGCCGTGTTTATGACAGGGGAGCCTTAATTGTTTTAGTTATTCAAGCTGTTGAAAGTATTTTGCATTGTTCTCTAGTTGGAGACTTCTGTTTCTTTGTTCTATATATGGAAATAAATCTTCCGATGTTATTATCCGAAATTGTTCTTGCCTTGTTTCTATCTTTTCATTAGAATACTAAGCAAAGTTATGGTACATACTCTTATGTCCTTCCTTGAGATTCTTTTGATTCAATATTATTGAAGATTTTAGGCAACATTTAGCTCTAGAAAAAGGGAGCAGGGACACCTTTATATTGAAATTTGAACTCTAATATCTCTTAGGTCTGAACCCCGTCACGAATTAAAGTTAGATCCTTCCATTAGAACACTTGTACACAAGCACAGGATTAAGCCGGAGTTGCAGTTCCGCTTGCTGAGAGGAATTGCAATTACTGCAACTTTCACATAGGAATCACCAGACATTTTATCAAAGCTTTCTGGAGATTTACTTGAATGTCCTGATATGAGCCCTTCACATTGTAGGAGTCCATCCCCAATCTGAGGTGATGTCCAAGATCGGGCTTGCTAATATTCCTTTCTAGCACAATCACTTGTTCTTGCCAAGCCCTTGGTCAAGGTCTTCTGTACAAATGTCGTACGATCAAGTGACCTTCCAATTTCTTAGGTGGAATCAGGGAGTTGTATTTCATCTACGCGTCTTATTAGATCTTTGGCCACTACTGTTTACCCAAAACATTCTATCACACTCCTTCACTTTTCCTTTCTACACAGCGATTAAACTTCTCCAAACAATTTATCCATGTCTAATTCCTCCACTTTCGGGATAGAAGTGCAAGGTTTGCCAAAAGTTTTGTAGTTGACCTCTTTCAGAGTTTGCTCTTTTCTTCACTCCCCTCGTGACCTCATAGAGCTCTTCCCAATTTGGTTCAATCATTTTTGTAGTATCTCCCGTTTCTTCAAGTTATCTTGGCAAAATGTCCCTGGCCTGAAACTTCTCAACCTTACTTCTCAATCATAGCCTGGCTAGTAGGCTATAATTTTCAGTCTTGTATCTCTAATTTCTTTGTTTAAATTGCAGTTTGCCCTTATCCCATTATCAGGGGTCTCGTAATTCTTGTATCCTCCAATGCACGATTGACTCTTCAACAAGTATGTGCACAAAGGTGAGGGAGAGAGTGCAGATAATAGGCTATGACTATAATACAGAGGATAAGAAATTAGGCAATTTAGGGAACTGATTTCCATTCGTATCTTATTGTCAAGAAAGGAAATCAGGCGGGTCTCTCTTGTGACCAATCGACAAGTTGCACATCTTCTACTGAGTTTGTGAAGTAGTCTACTGAGATCACCAAGAACCATCTCTGAGCTTGAATTGTGACAAATACTCCAAAAATATCAACTCTCTAGTTCAGGTTCTCATCTGGCTGACCTTTGACACTTGTACTGAAATATAAAGGATTTTCTTGTTCGTGGGCTGATAATCGCAATAGCCTTGCCTGATGAGTTTGAATGCTCGACCTCCATTTTGGCTTCTCATGTACTTCTCTAGTTCTTTTAGCAATGGAGATACAAAATGTTGTACCCTTTGTGTACGGCATTATTCCATGTATCTAACATTATTGTGAGGCTGGACGCAAGCTTTTATACTTCTTATTTTCGAGTTATAGCTCTCTGTTTATTTTTCAAAGTTAGCTGTATTCACGCCAAGAATATTTCTCAAAAGCTACTTCATAGGAATATAATACTAATTTCTATATCATTCTTGTCTTTATTTCCTGTCCCCTCTTAGCATTTCTTGTCTTTAAAATCAATGTAGCTGGTTGAACTATAGGAACCATGAGCTCTATTGCTGTATTCCTCTAAATCTAATTGAAGCACCACTCGTTTTTATATGAAATGTATTATACTCCAACGACAGTAAAGGCTTCCACCGACACGATAGCCGAGAAACACTTTTCCATACCAAATCAATTATTTGACGCAATTTGTCTCTTGTATGCAAGTCGTGAGTAGTACTCTAAAATATCAGGAAAGAAAAAAAAAAAATTAAAATCTTGGCTAATGTATTTAACTAGAATTGATCTCCTCTGAATGTATGACCGTTGTGGAGAACCATAAATAATGCTCTCTTGCCATATCATTGGTGGAGATTGGATCTGTGTACTTAAATACATCTAGTTAGACTCCCTTTTCCAAATTTCTCATTATACATCTGGATATTGCACTTTAGCCATCAATGGTGCAGCATAACCTGGAATGAATTGCTGGGGTGATGAGTTTTTCCATTTTTTAACGTAGTTCGAGGTGGAGCATGTGCTCAAAGGATTACAGCACGTGACTATAAACCATAGTGTCATCACTTCCTCCTCGCCCACAACAGGTCCTAAAGGAAAGTACCTTCCCGAAAATAAGAACCAAGCATCCAATGTTGAGTTCATGGACATAGAAGAAATATAAAGATTCTATGGTGTCAAGGTCATAGAATGAATAAAATTTTAACTTGTACCCTTAATACTGCATATTGACCGTACCAAACAAATCCCAAAAATCCAATAATGTAAATCAAGGAACTTTGATATTGCTGGCTTACATGCTACTGATATACTCAATTATATAGAAATGGAACGAATTAATTATCAAATTAAATAAATGAAACAATCATTCATTACATAATCTACCAATATTATATTTCCCAATTGGTACCAGGATTCAACTTAAGTTTCCCATATGATGGAGGTCTTAGGTTCGAATTCTAAGGAACGCGTCAGAAAGCCGTGAGGGGTAAGATGGGTCTCGACTCTCCCGAAGCGGACAGTACGTAAGATAACGACTCCGACGCGAGGTCGGGTTGTCAACAAGGTGCACATTCTTTTCCGAAAATTCATTGTTAGAAACTCTACAGTTAAGCGTACTCTTTGTGAAGTTTTCTTGGGGAGCGTGTGAGTGAGGATAAAGCATGCTGAAAAGACCCATGTTGGTACAATGGGGACAGTACGTCGTCTATCTAACGGCCGGGACAG